CCTGGCCTTCCAGAGATACGCCTGTCACCAGGTGAGGGCACAGGCCAAGAGCATTGAGAAGACCTGGAGCTGTACACCCCAAGAAGCCCTGGGAAACACGGAAGGTAAGGTCAAGGTCTGCCCCCTGTTCTCAGGAGGATGCTTGGTTCCTGTCCATCTCCGATCTGACTCATTGCGTAGAAGACATTTACTGCAAGAGATGCAGAAATATTGTCAACTTGTAAGAGTGGTCCCAAATCCACAGGTGGGAACCAGGGCACATAGCAGGCCAGTAGGGGCAAAGAGAAGGAAGGGTCCGTCCCCAAAGGCTTGGTAGCTCAGCACAAGAAAGGACAGAGGTGTGCACCACAGGGGGAGGGACAGCCACCCTTTGACCTGGGAAGGCCAGCTGTCTCCTGGTGCTCCCAGGAAACCTGAGGGAAGAGGCGATATCCACAGGCCTTGAAGGACGGGAAAGGAAGCCTTGTGCCTGGGGCTGTTGACGAACAAAGGCCAAGGCCTCAGTATAAGGGCTTGGAGCATAGGAGGGGCCGTCGAAGGTCTGGGAACCTCAGCAACTGCTCCTCCTGGGGCCTTGGCAAGACGCTCCTGGGGCTCTAGGGTCCCTGGAGGCCGCCCTCCCCCACCGCCTCACCCCCGCCCCCGTGCGGCGCATTCTTCTGGTTGGCTGTCCTTCCGACGGTCCCCTGCGCGTCCGTCTGTCGGTCTTTCTTCTCTTGCCTGCACCAAAGCCGAGGCCCTATTCATTCCTGAGGCCTCTGCCCTCTCCTGAGCTGGTCCCCGCTCGGCGAGCAGCTGCTATGCTAATGAGGGCGGCGGCGGGTGGGGCGGGCAGGCACTCACAAAGGCAGAGTCTTTACATTCAAAGCCAGCCGGGCCGTGCCTGCGAGCGCGCCAGGCGAGGCGGCGGGGAGCGGCGCCCGAGGGCGCACCGGCTGCCCCGGCACCCACTGCCGGGCGCGGTGTGAGGGCAGAGACCAGCTGTCGTCTGCTCGAGGTCACAGCCTGGGACCCGCAGCTCCTTAGAAGGACCTGCCTGAGCTCTCCAGACGCCCCTCTTAGTGGCTCGGGGACGCTCGGTGCACGTGTGCATGGCTAGTAGTCACCAAAGGTGACTGTGCCGCCCTTCCCGGCACAAGGAGGTTGGATAAAACCCAAGTAGAGTCTGAGGACCCTGATCCAAACAGGAGCAGAGATCTCCGGTCACTTCACACGAGCCGGCGGGGTTCCCCTTCCTCCCGGAGGGACCGAATGGGGGGCCGGGGGCGCTTGGGGAGGGGCTGTGACACAAGCCTTACTCTCCGGATCTCGGACGCGTCTTGTCCAGCAGGGGCCTTCCTAGCCTCTGATGACCACGGCCCTTCCAGACTTTGTACTAGAGGTCAGGAACTTAAAGCTGGGGAGAAAAGGATGGAAACTGGGGAGGGGACGGTTGTGACTGGCCTGCGAGACTATGCTGCCGCCCTGTGGCCACGGCCCGCACTGCGGTCCTCGCCAAGAGCACTAAGGTGTCTGACCCAGGGAGTCAGCTATGTCTGATCACCTTGTTACCTAGGACTCCAGACTCCATCCATCCATAGGAGACAGGCAGAGAAGGTTGGGTGAAGCGCTTAGGTCACGAAGGAGCAAGAGCTGTCATAGCACATATCAGAGAGGCCTGAGCAGCTGAGGCATGCCCCAGGGGTTATGGGACAGAGGGCAAGTTCTCAGGAACTATGACACCAGACCCAGACAGGCCAACTGACTAGGCATCTTGGGCCACAGTAATTAGCAATGGGAGACAGAGTTAGTGTATGACGGGCAGGTTAGATCGAGAGAAAGAAATAAGGGAAGACCAGAGAGAGAATGCACAGCAGGCCTTGGCACGGTTGCTGAAGTTGGAAGACTAATCATTCGTGGGATGCTCAGGCGATCAAAGGGTGGGGCATTTGGTGGGAAAGCATCCCAGGGTGTACCACTGCTTGACTGAGGCCAACAACCCAGCTGGGGCCCCTGAACTGCTACCGCAGTCCCTAGGATACCCAAACAAACCTTGAGTGGTGGCCCCTCACCAAGATGTTGACCTGATGAAATGGAAAAAAGATGATATTCCAAGGCCCAAGACTTCAGCGATGGTTAGCAGAATACAACTGTAGCCCTGCATGCAAGGGCCACACTCCTAACGGCTTAAAGGACACTCAAAATGATCACGGGACAGGTTAGAAGGTGCCTCTGGGTCTAGAGCCTGGGTCATTGGCAGGAGCCATGTGGGCAAGACCCGTGGGCCCAGTGATGGCTAGCGGCTAGCACTAGGTACTGCCTGCACCTGCTACCATTATAAACTCTAAAACCTCTGAAACCATAAGCTAACTAAATACTTTTTTTTTTTTGAGATGAGGTTTCTCTGTGTAACAGCACTGGACCTCACTCTATAGACCAAGATGGCCTTGAACTCACAGAGATCTGCCTGCCCCTACCTCCCAAGTGCTGGGATTAAAGGTGTGCACCACCACCTGACTGAAACAGTATTTTTAAAAGTTAAAGAAAAGAGGGCTGGAGAGATGGCTCAGAGGTTAAGAACACTGACTGCTCTTCCAGAGGTCCTGAGTTCAGTTCCCAGCAACCACATGGTGGCTCACAACCATCTGTAATGAGATCTGGTGCCCTCTTCTGGCCTGTGGACATACAAGCAGACAGAACACTGTATGCATAATAAATAAATAATTCTTTTAAAAAAGTTAGAAAAGAAATAAAACATGATTTCAGGGGACGGAGAAATGGCTTCATGACTAAGAGCAAGTACTGCTCTTGCAAAGGACTGTGATTCAATTCCCAGCATCCATGTCTGGCCATTCACAGGGCCTGTAGTAATTCCAGCTCCAAGAGATCCAACACCCTCTTCTGGCCTCTGAGGACACCGACACTCATGTAAGTATAATTTAAAATTATCTTTTAAAAAATAGGGGCTGGGCCGGGTGGTAGTGGCACATACCTTTAATCCCAGCACACGGGAGGCAGAGGTAGGCGGATCTCTGTGAGTTCGAGGCCAGCCTGGTCTACAAGAGCTAGTTCCAAGACAGGCTCCAAAGCCACAGAGGAACCCTGTCTCAGAAAAAAAAATGAGGGCTGAGCTGGGCAGTGGTGGCACACACCTTTAACCCAAGCACTTGGGAAAGTTAAGCTGGAGGAACTTTATGAGTTCAAGGCCAGCCTGCTCTACAAAGTGAGTTCCAGGACAGCCAGAGCTGTTACACAGAGAAACTCTTGTCTCAAAATAAAGTGGCAGGGGTGGGGTGGGAGGTTGGAGAGATGGCTCAGAGGTTAAGAACACTGGCTTGTCTTGTAGAGGACCAGAGAGATTTCAGTTCCCAGCACCTACATGGAGGCTCACAGCCATCTGTAATTCCAGTTCCTGAGAATCTGAGTTCCTCTTCTGACATCCCATGCACCAGACATAAATGAAATCCACAGACATGTATCCAGGCAGCACACCCACATTCATGAAATAATAATAATAAATCTTTAGAATTATTTTTCAAAAATACTAATATTTTACCAGAAAGAAATAGCCTCCCCGTGATGGGCCTCATCAAAGCCTTGCTACCTCCACCTCCATCATTTCCATCTAATCTACAGCTCTCCTGTTGCCAGAGCATGCTGTCAGAAACACGGGCACGTTTGTGCCTTCCTACAATGTCAGTTCATTGGATAAAAACAAGCTCATAAACTAGGTCAGTTGCTATAGCTGCAGTTGGCCAAGCAGTCCTGATTTCCCTTGACAATTGGCCATTAACAAACACGGGTTTCCTGTTCCAGTCTTAATAGCCAATATTAAGTTCAGATCACACATTACACATCACATGGTAGTTATTTTATCTATGTAACCAATACAGGTTATAGAAAGATTACAAGAGGGTAAGAGGCTGCACCAGAGATGTCTTATTAGACGAAGAAGCAGAAGGCTGGTTAGAACGCAAAAAGAATCTGTAAGTTAGAGGGCTGCTGGACCACCAAGCCCAGGTGTCCACCCATCACACACATCACCACTCCTCAGACCTTTCCATTTCTTTCCTTTGTGATGGCTACACTTACTCGACTTTCCCAAACCTAGAGTTGAGAATAACTACCTCCTCCTCCAGTTACCATCCCCAGGTGGGCTGTGGTAGAGGCTTGACCGGGAATGACCCCCTTAGGCTCAGACGTTAGACTGCTGGTCCCCAGTTGGCCTAACTCTTAGGGAAGAGTTAGATGTGACCTTGCTGAAGGCATGTCACCAGGGCTTTGAGGTTTCAAAAGACTGAGGACACTTGGAGCTAATTCTCTCTGCTTCCTGCTTGTGGATCACAGGAGGACTGATGCAAATTGAGAGCTTGAGGCCAGTCTGGCCTACAAAGAGTTCAAGGCAAGCCCGGGCTGTGTAGCAAAATCCCATCTCAAAAACAACACAAAAAGAGAAAACACATGAAGGAATGTGAGTTCTAGGTTAACTAAGTTCTCATAGCAAGTCTTTCTCAAAAGAATAAAAGCATTAAAAACTAGTTATTTATGGAGTTCCTGCACAGTCTCTGCTGGCTGCGCTATGAAGCTCAGCTTCCTATTATACTTCCCTCTTCAGAACTTCTTGGTTATTGAAAAATAGGACAATCATTTGACCCCCATGGTGGTATATAAGTTTTAGGTGGGCCTGGGCTACCAGTGTGAAAACCTGTCTGAAAACAAGAACTGTCATTTGTGGGGGGAGGTTTGGGGGGTTCTGAGACAGGGTTTCTCTGTGTAGCCCTGGCTGTCCTGGAAATCAATCTGTAGAACAGGTTGGCCTTGAATACAGAGATCTGCCTGCTTCTGCCTCCTGAGTGCTGGGATTAAAGGTGTCTGCCACGACGCCCATCTCTAAGCCTAGGAATTATTAAATACAGAGACTTAGAGAAAGAAGCTGGTGAATTTACCATGGACAGGTTTCAGTGTGCCTTTCTCAATCCATAGGTGAAGCAACAGAAGAACCAAAGGAAGACCGTAAACTCTTAGATTCGCGCTACAGTTTATTTACAAGCATGATACAACCTGCTCAGTGTTGGGTGTACAGGACTCTTAAGACCAGAAACTGGCCTCGATGCTGTTATTTTATAAATAAATAAGAGGAAAACTTGCACGGGTTTGGATCTTCACTAAACGGATGTTCTGAAATGTTAACTGAGTGAATACCAGCAACACTTGGCTGGGTAGGAGACACTTCCAAGTGGGTTTTCAGGTGACACTCCTGGGGGCCTTCTTGGGGGGTGCTGAGGACCCCAGCATCATCCTGCAAAGACTTGCCCCGCACCCCACTCAGCAGGTCACGCACAAACCCCTGAGGCATCAACACAAAGGCCTGAAGACAGAGCAAGAGCCTCTTCCTTCCCTGCGGCTCAGCAGGTGAACTGAGGTGGACATGGGAACCCCTTGGATTCCCAGGTCTGCATCCCATTGCAACCCTGGCCCAACCTTTCAACCTCGAGCAGACCTCAGAGCAGGAAAGAGTCCTGGGGCCTGAGGAAGGATGTGCTGGTCACCTCCCAGGCATAAGGTCTGTGTGCAGCAGGTGAGGGCGCCCATCGGCAGAGTCCCTCTCCCAGCGGCTGCATCACTCAGGTCCTCAGACCATGGCTGGAGCAAGCTGAATGGGAGACAAGGAAAACTTGTGGAGGGCCTGCTCGGGGCTGGTGATCTAGGGAAACCTGAGTTCGGGTGGTTTCCCGGCAGGTCCCCTCGGGGTGGGGAGGATGCATCACCTCTCTGGAGGGGCTCCTCCTCTCTGACCTCTTCTGGTGTCATGACCCTTGCTGTATTCTCAGGCCCCACAATGGTGATCATTTGCAGGCAAGGGCTGGGTGCAGCCACCAGGAGGCAGCACAGAAGTTGCCAGAGCACTGAGGAGCCTCACGGCAAGAAAATCCCACAGCCCTTGGCCATTGAGCATGCGCAGATGGGATTGAGAGGGCTGAACCTAGGACGCCAAGGGCTATGGAGAGCCTCACCCACATTTAACTGTGGTAGCCGGACAGTTGCACTGGCGAGGACAAGGGGTCTCCACATGCAGTCCAGCACAGGCAGGTAGAGGCCTTGCCTCCTTTGGTCATCCCGTGGGTCCAGCCAAGAGCCTGAGCTGCTCCCCACCCCGTCCTCACGGGGCCTCATGCATGCCTGGTGCTTCCTGCAAACAGAAGCCTCAAAGACCCTGTCCACTTCCACTGCTGCCGTTCTATGTCGTGGACTGAAGGGCTGTCACTCCAGAGCAGGTGGCAGAGGAAGGATGAGTCCCCCAGCACTAGAAGGCTCTAGGGACCCTTTCCCGGGGAAACCTGAGCGTGGCTGGTTTCCCAGCAGGCCTCCCCAGGGTGGATAGGGATACATCACCCTTCTGGAGAGGTTCCTCCTCTCTAACCTCTTCTGGTAAACAGGACCCTGCACCTTTTAGCTGGCTCCAAGGTCAGCTCTGCGTGTGTGTCTGTGGCTGGAGCAAACAGGTAGCTAGCTGGTCTCAAGAGGCTGGCTCTCCGCTAGGCCCACATTCAGCCAAGCCCCTGCTCCGTGACACTTGGGGGTTCCACTAGATCTACTCACCGGCTTGTAGACCTCTATCCACCCGGCCTGGAGAAGTGTTCCCCACCTCTAAGCTAAGGAGGCATCCAAGGGGGTCACAGTGTGAGAAGCACGGGGAATAATACCACGTGTTCCGACAGGACCAGCTTCACAGACAGCTACTCACCCTGAGATAGAGATAAGCTGTACCATGAATGCACACATCCGCCTCCTAGGGTTGTGGAGGCCCTATCACATGATGGACATAGTGGGGGGCTGAGGAGAGGGACTAGACTACAGACAGGAAGGAGGCTGCTTTCCTGGTGACCCTGGGGGAATCTCAAGGCTCAGGGGGGGAAGAGGAAGTGGGAGGGAGCTGGGAGCCCAGCCTTCCCTGGCTCCTAGAGTGAACCAGCTTGGGGGCCACAGGTCACCTGACATGCTTCCTGCTTTCTTCAACAGCTCAAATGCCGGGGGCCACTGGCTAGTGTCCAGCATGTGCTGGCTTCTGCTGCAGGAGGTTGACCTTAGCTACTACCTGCTTGCAGCCTGTAATGGCAAATTCATGTCCAGCAACATGGTAATAGCTGAGCTGCTCTGCCAGATGCTCCGCCAGCTCCTGCTCGGGGAAAAAGCCCTCTCCCGCCATCTCCTCTCGGAAGCAGTTGACCACATCTGGCTTGTCTAGCAGCAGGAAGGGCACGATGGCCGCAGAGTGCCACAAAGGGTGCTCTCGGGCCAGGAGCTCGCGAAGGCCGCTGTGTAACTCCTCCTCAGCCTGGGACACCTCAGCCTGAGTGCTACCTGCGTTGTGGCGGTGTGGGGGCAGCATACGTGATGCGTTCTGTAGCACAAAGTGTGTGATCTCTAGACCGCCAACGCCACTGAGGAGTACATAGATAGCGTTGTGGAAATGGTGCGAGCGCTGTGGCTGCAGGAGGCCGTGCAGTTCATCTAGCAGCGCCGGTGGCAGGAGTTCAGCCTCATCCAGCACCAAGAGAGGGGTCTTCTCCTCGGCCTCAGCCTGTGCCACCACATCTGCCACGCGCCGTGCCAGCTCCTTCCGGCAGTCCTGAACGGGGCGCAGCTCTGGACAGTGATGTCGTGCATGGTACTGCAGTACCAAAGCGCCATCCTCCAGCACTGAGTGGAAGTGGCGTACCAGGAGGCGCCCCACGTGACTTTTGCCTACACCACTGGGCCCATGCAGAGCCAGAAGCAAGGGATGACTGTGCACGTGTGTAGCCAGGTAGTCCCGCAGCAGGGCCATAATGCGGCTCACAGCAGCTGGCTGGCCAAACACAGAACGCCGCAGCGCCTTCTCCAGCCCGTCAAGGTCATAACGTTGTGCATTATCGTCCAGATTCTCAATGGCGTTAAGAACCTGGAACCCCACGATGGCTACAAGCAGCAACAGACAACGCTGTGCACGGCTCTGGCGCTCTGTGCGGGGTCGGTACTTTCGTGAGGTTTCGGGGTAGAGCACTACCCGACTACGCCTACGTCTCTTGCGTGGTGTCCTGGAAGACAACTCCGTCAGGCTGTCGAACGTGAAGAATTTAGGTTGGTCTAGGTCCGCACGCAGAATCCCGGAGCTGCCGCTGGACCCGAGTACCCCTGTCCCAGCGTCCGGTTCGGTGCCTAGCTGCAAGAGGCGCCTCTTGCGCAGGACGCAGACACGGCGGCGCAGACGGAGCACTGCGCGCACCGGCGCGATCACGCTTGGGCCCTTGGCCTGGGGCTCTAGGCTAGGTTGGCTGCGATCCATGGTGTAGGAGCTGTGCTGGGCATACAGGTCCCCCTCCCTGCAATAGGAAAATTGGAGGATCTCCTGAGTCCCTGATCTTAGTCTCTGGGGGTCGCTTAAGGTACTTCACGGCCAAATACTGGCTCCGCCTCGCCTCGCCTCGCCCCACTGACCAGGAAGCCGCTGCTCAGCAGGAGGGCCCCAATGCATGCAAATCTCTAGAGTCCTCCCAGAAAGAGCCCAGGCCTTGAGGAAGTGAGGGGGTGGGGTGGGGGTGTTGTATAATTTATCAGGCTGCTGACTTCCCTCTTGGAGCAAGAAACGGAGGATTCGGGGTCACACCGTCACCGATTAGAGGTGAAGAACGGTCAGACTGGACCCCGCACCACCCCCTAGCACCTATGGGACAGTCAAAAGGCCTTACAGGTCCCAAGTAGGCCCCTTGCACCAGAGGACTCAGTACCCCTAAGAGCTGAGACTGCCCCCATACTCTGGGACAGTTGGTGGAAAGGTATGTGCAGACCAAACTTCCATGTTTTGGGGAACAGTCCCTAGCACTGCCCCCCAGTCACAACCTAGGCCTTTCAACCCCACTCCCATCCCTAACCCCTACCCATGCCCAAACCTGGGGTTCCTCAACATCCTCCCAGTGGACACAGCAGAGCAGAAAAACGAACAAAAAGGAGAGCCGGGGAAAGGGTAGAGCCCTGACTTATGAGGCTGGCCTGAACCTCTCCATCTGCCCCCTACCTGCAGCTGCTGAGACTCCCCAGTTCAGCCACTCCCCTCCAAGGCCAGGAAGCAGGAAATGCTAGTCTTCCCCACAAAAGGTGAGGTGGGTGGGTCAGGGTCCGCCTGACTCAGCTCAGGCTTGAAGGGGGCCGTGACTCCTGCCAGGTCCCCTGGGACCGAAGCAGAGGAAGCTCTGGGGAGGTTTCCGCTGAGATGCAAAGGAAGTGAGTCAGGGGTGCTGGCAGGCGGAGCTTGGGCTGAATGGATGAGCGGGTGGGGGAGGCCTGGCTGACCGGTCTAGAACCCCTAGTCTGCAGTCCCCGTCCCTGTGTTTCTGCCAGGGAACATAGGGAGGGAGGGGCCCTTCCAGCAGTTCTTCCCGTAGGCCCCCGGGACTCTCGGAAGCTCAGTCTGCCCTTTAATGACCCTGCTTCTGCCAGGGTAGTCCTTCCCCTGACCCAGCAAAGCTAAGGGACTCTAGAGATCCTATGGAGGCTCTCAGCTCACTGTAAATAAGCAGGAAGCGGGTCGTTTTCCTCTTTCCCGTCCTCCACCATCCCTTTACCCATCCAGCTGCACTTCTAAGACAAGACAAAAGAGACAGAAGTTCGAGAGCTAGGCTCAGGGACCTTCTGAACAGGGAGAAGCACATTTAGAAATGTCCTTGGGCCAAGAATTGGAAGACAGAAGCTTTAGACTTTTCACAGCAGCCTGCTTGCCTGGGGCCCTGCCCACCTCCGTGCCCATTTCTGCAGGAAATGGCCTGCCTGGATGGCCCCAGACTCCTCCCATTCTCATGGGGAGCTGGTTTTCTTGGCCAGCCTGGAACTAGGTGAAATATCCTAGTGGATTCTGACTAACCAGGCCTTAGAGAGGAGGGTCTTTTAGGAACCTCCACTCTCCTGTCTATAACTTTCATGACCCAGGAAGGACACCAGCCCTGAAGCAGCTGACCAGACCCTAAAAGAAAGAGACAGAGTAATCTCCAAGTGGGCCCAATGTTGGCCAGTCACTTTTGCAAGAGGCTGATCTGTCAAACTTTCTAGGGTCCAGTCTCACTCTGGGGTAAGGAAACGACCTCCTGAAAAGTGGCACATTCAGAGAACTCAAAGAGTTAATCTTTGCAAGGATCAGGCCTTTATAGAGAGGAAGCCCCCAAGCCCCACCGCTCACTCCCTTGTCCAACCTTACCAATTCCAACCCAGACCCTCTTCACCCACCAAGCCCCTTCCCTTTCCAGGACAGCCAGGGCTACGTGGAGAAATCCTGTCTTTAAAAAATAATAATAGGGAGCTAAAGAGATGGCTCAGAGGTTAAGAGCACTGGCGGCTCTTCCAAAGGTCCTGAGTTCAATTCCCAGCAACCACATGGTGGCTCACAACCATCTGTAATGAGATCTGGTGCCCTCTTCGGTGTGCAAGCATACATGTAGGCAGAGTATTGTATACATAAAAATAAATAAATCTTAATAATAATAATAATAATAATAGCTGGGCATTGATGATGCACGCTTTTAATCCCAGCACTCAGGAGGCAGAGGCAGGTTCAAGGCCAGCCTGGTCTGCAGAGCTAGTTCCAGGACAGCCTCCAAAACAATACAGAGAAACCCTGTCTCGAAAAACCAAAATAATAATAATAATAAATAAAAGAGTCCAGTAGCACTTTCCCCAACTGAAGGCCTGCACCCATGACTTATGATCTTTCCTCGGCTTAGCAGTGTTCCTGTGGTCCCACAGTCATGTGGCTATGGTGTCATGTGTTGAAGCGTCTCCCAGGCCCCCAATCAGAAGTGGTAGAAGGTTGAGAATTCAATCAGCTGTGGTGTACCTCCAAGATGGGTGGTGTTAGGATCAAATGAGATTATGGAACTGGTACCCTCAGTCAGTCCCATGGCTTTAAAGAGAACACACACACACACACAATCCCTGAGGTACCCTTCGCCTCAGGCCTCTGCTGGAAAGATGGCTGTCATCAAATACACCCTGAACACACACATACACACACACACACACACACACACACACACACACACACACACACACACACACACCATCACTATGAGGTACCCTTTGCCTCAGGCCTCTGCTGGAAAGATGGCTGTCATCAAATACACTCTGGACTTTGGACCAGGTCCTTGAGCCAAAATAAACACACTTTATGACTCATCTAGCCTATAGTGTTATAACAGAAAACTGAACTAATACACTCCCACCCCCGTTCCCTCAGCTTCAGGGATACACTAGACTGCCTCCCCTGCCCCACCAGGTGACAAACAGCCAAACTCAACCAGGGAACATAGCATTCATCCACAACTGGGAAAAGCCAGGTATAGACTTGGGGTCCTGCAACCCACCCACACCTGCCTGACCCCATCACAGCCAGGGGGCTTTCATTATGCCTCAGATAGCTGCCCTGCTCAGCCATTGTCTGGTGTTTCACATCCTGAAGAGAACAGTGATGCCCAATGCCCAGCTGGACTCTCCCTACCATCCAAGGGATAACTAAGCTGCCATATGGCTGGAAAGTGTGATGTTCAGAATCACTTATGACCTAGGGCTCATTCTTGGTCCTCCTAGCAATTCCTATGCCTCATTCTAAAAGGAGTGAAAGATTGCACACCTAGATATTGGGACAGAGATCAAGACACAGAGCTGAGAGGCCCTGATATCTTCCAGCAGCTAGGCCCTAAACCAGGTCACTCAGAACAGGGTTTCCAGTCAGGGAGGCCAAAGCTTTGACTCTCCACAAGAATATTGCACCCTCCAGATGTGGTGGCACATCCCTTTAGTCCTAGGCAGGCAGATCTCTGTGAGTTCAAGGCTAGCCTGGTCTACAAAGCAAGTTGCAGAACAGTCAAGAGCTGTTACACAGAGAAACCCTGTCTTGAAAAAAAAAAAAAGAACAAAAGAATCTTATGCCCACCCCTGCTCTCAGCCTCAGGACAAACGAATCCTCTCACCATGGATTTATCAAAATGTGTTTTATTTACATAAGTGGAAACTTCAGTGTGTACACCCATGGCTCCTTGCTCAAGGGCCAAAACATGTAACTGGGCAAGGATTTGCTGTGTTACAAAGGTACATACACTGAGTGGGGAGCTGCAGGGAAGGGCTCTGCCTACAGATCTGTCAGCAAGGACTGTGCCCTGACAGAAGCGGCCTCAGGCCTCTGCCTCCTGCAGACTTTCCACCTGGCTTCTGTGGAAGGCGCCATGCCTGTGCTTGGGATAATAAGCCCAGCCCATCTGCTTTGGCAAACCCAGTATACCTGTCTCCTTGGGCTTTGTTCAGACTATCATGTCAGTCAGGCTTTTTCTTAATACCAACCGTCATCCATCTCTGCCAGGGTCAAGCAGGGGTCAAGCCCCACCATACCATACCATCATGGGTCCCCCCTGATGTGTGAGTACACTGAGGACCTTTTGGGACCAGCTCCAGACAGCAACTTAGAGAACACCCTGCCAAGGAACAGCCCTCAGCTCACCCTGCACCCCTAGCTGACTAGGCCCCTTCCACAGGGCACTACCCCTCAGCAGCCCCACAGAGCCTCATAGTGGAGCTGGGGCAGGCACATTGGGAAGAGGCAGCTCCAGGGCTGGCGTCTCTGCAGCTTGGGTAGGACTGGGCTTTCGATGGTCCAACTGCTCCAACTTCTCACCAAGCTGGGAGTAGAGCTCCTTCACGGCCTCCCCACTCTGTAAGAAAGCCAGACACAGGCATTGTGGTGGTTTGAGAGAAAATGGCCCCAAAAGAGAGTAGCACTGTTAGGAGGTGTGGCTTTATTGGAGTAGGTGTGTCACTATGGAATGGGTTTTGAGGTCTCATATATGCTCAAGCCATACCCAGTGAGACCACTTCCTGTTGCCTGCAAGTCAAGGTGTAGGACACTCAGCTACTTCTCCAGCACCATGATGATAATGGACTAAGCTTCTGAACTGTAAGCCACGCCAACTAAATATTTTTCCTTTGTAAGAGTTGCTGTGACCATGGTGTCTCTTCACAATAATAGAGACCCTAATTAAGACAGGCATGCAAGGGGGCTGGAGAGATGGCTCAGAGGTTAAGAGCACTGACTACCCTTCCAGAGGTCCTGAGTTCAATTCCCAGCACCCACATGGCAGCTCAACTCTAATTCCAGAGGACCTGACACCCATGACAAAACACCAATGCACATTAAAAAAAAAGACAGGTATGCAATAGGGTAGGTAGTCTGAGCAGTGGTCTGAGCCTACTTGAAGGAGTGAACCCACACATCAGACCAGCTAGTAAGAATACAAAAGTAGCCGGGCGTTGGTGGCGCACGCCTTTAATCCCAGCACTCGGGAGGCAGAGGCAGGCGGATCTCTGTGAGTTCGAGACCAGCCTGGACTACCGAGTGAGTTCCAGGACAGCCTCCAAAGCCACAGAGAAACCCTGTCTCGAAAAACCAAAAAAAAAAAAAAAAAATACAAAAGTAGGCTAGGCGGTGGTGGCACCCATCTTTAAGCCCAGCACTTGGGAAGCAGAGGCAGGTGGATCTCTATGAGTTCAAGGCCAGCCTGGTCTACAAAGTGAGTTCCAGGACAGCCTCCAAAGCTACAGAGAAACCCTGTCTCGAAAAACAAAAACAAACAAACAAACAAAAAAAAGGGGGATACCTACCTGGCCTGTGGGCTCCAGAGCCTTCTGCAATGCCTCCAGTTTGGAAGGGGCCACTCTTGGGTGCAAGTGGAGGAGAAGCCTCAGCACATGACGATGCACGTTCTCCTTCCTGGAAGAGATCAGTGAGGCTGGAGGAGCCGTAACAGCTACGTCTTCCTAGGCACAGCCTTCAGCGCTCCACCCCACTAGAGAACCGGGACATCCCAAGCCGCATCCAGGAATTACTCACTCTAGCACAGGTCCCGGTGCTCAAAGACCCATGTGTGGGCCTTCAGCAGGACGGGGCCTCAACGGCCCTCCCACACTGTCAAGCACAGAACCGACAAGAAATGAAGGTCCCGTGGGGGGGGGGGGGTCCTACCTGGGAGAGGCAGTGAGGAAGAAGCCATCGAAGAGGCTGCTGCAGAAATCCTCCAGGGCAAATTCATCAGCCAGCAGTGCCAGGCTCCCAGTGAGAAGGTGGAGAAAGATGTCACCGAAGGCCAGGTCACCAAAAGTTTCCACTGTAAAGACAACAGGGTGGCTCGGCCTCTGCCCTCAGGCA